GTAGCAGATTGTTTTTCTCTAGCAGCCAATACTAATAGATTATCACCATTTTCATCTTTCACATCACCTCTTGCTCCCTTATTCAATAACGCCTCAAGAACCTCAATTGGCCAACCAATTTTTACAGCTAAATACAATGCATTGGGTGCATTATATGGTTGTAGTACCGTGGTTTTTAACGGAACAGTTGGATCTGCCCCATTTTTTAGTAACATTAAAACAATTGGTGCGAACTCTCTGTGTCTAAATTTATCACACAAATAGTATGATAATATTGTTTGTCGACTATTGTCCATAGCATTAATATTACATCCATTGGCTACTAAAAACTCTATTGCTTCTTTCATATGTTTATGAAACTTTCGTAATCCTTTAGAATCACTGAGATCTCTGGTTAAAGATGGGTTTTCATATAAATGATGTAATGCTGTTTTTCCATTGACATTTGAAGTACATTTGAAATTCGCGTTATGTTCTTTTAAAACTTTAAATATTTCGACCAATTTACTTCTACTGCAATATCTTGCGGCGATTATTACAAGATGTTCCCTTGTATTTAAGAAACGTGAGGCTCCGTTAACTTTTGCACCATGAGTGAAATGATGACGCAATCCCTCAACGTCACCAAATCCAGCGTGATAGCCGGCGTGACATTCCTTAGTATTCTCATAACCCAGAACGGTTCCATATTCTTTTTGATATCTTGTTTTAACATCATTACATTGCGGTATTTGCGGACACTAAAAAAAAAAAACAATTCTTAAATATATATAATAGAAAGATCTGAGATAAATAAGGAATAATTTAAGAACTTACCTCAATAACGCTAGTAAAAGAGGCACTATTACCATCGGGAGAGGAAACTTGTTTACCACCAGAATTTAAACTTAAAGACTGCGGCGTTTGCACACCGGAATTTGGTGCCGAAGTAGGACTTTGATTATTAAAATGTTGGCGTTGGAAACCTGATGAATTTTGTCCACCAGAATTTGGAGGAGTTGGGAGATTAATATGTGGGTTTTGGAAACCTGGTGCATTTCGTCCACCAGCATTTGGAGGAGTTTGGTTATTAACATGATGATTTTGGAAACCTGGTGCATTTCGTCCACCAGCATTTGGATGAGTTTGGTTATTAACATGATGATTTTGGAAACCTGGTGTATTTTGTATACCAGAGTTTGGATTAACATTTGAAACACCATTTAATGGGACATTTGGTATAACGATTGTAGGCATATTTTGATTAACATTTTGAGGAGGAATTCTTGGAGAAATCCTTGGAGAAATATTAGGTTGAGTATGTAGATTTGGTTGAATTTGTGGATTCATTCCTTGTACATTTACAGTTGGATTTCCACCTGGACCTGGACCGATGTTTGGGCTAAGGAATGATGTATTGTGACCTCCGTTTTGAAAAGGCGGTCTTGCATAAGGGAATTGTTGATTTCCTGTATGTGGAACCGGAGCAAGAGGTGATGTGAAAGATGAAAATGGTGATAATCTATTAGTATTGGCTGCTAGAGAAAAACAATCTGCTAC